GGGAAGGGGGGAGAACTGTGCATGCAGCCCTGAGGAGAGGAAAGGCAAGGCAAGTTTGATAGAGCCCCAGGGTTCGCTTCCCAGAATTATTTCCCCAAAACAAAGCTGCTATGGTACAACGTCACCCAGAGTTCCTTGCCACAATTATGCATATTTTTTTAAATCTGGCTGAACACATCTGCACATTAAACTCATTTGTTCTAAGTTGGATCCTTGATCAATCAAGGTCAGTATTGCCCGCTCTGACTGGCAGCAGCCCTTTAGGGTCTCAGGTCAAGACTTTTCATGTCTCCTCCCACCTGATTCTTTTAACTGGAGATGCTGCGGATTGAACCTGAGACCTTCTGCATGTAAAGCAGATAAAGGTAAAGGTTCCCTTGCTCGAAAGCCAGTTGAATCCAACTCTAGGGTTGCGGTGCTCATCTCCGTTTCAAAGCCGAAGAGCCAGCGCTGTCCAAAGACATTTCCGTGGTCATGTGGCCGGCATGACTAAACACCAAGGCGCACGGAACGCTGTTACCTTCCCACCGAAGTGGTCCCTATTTATCTACTTGCAATTTCTTGCTTCCGAACTGCCAGGTTGGCAGGAGCTGGAACTAGAGACGGGAGCTCCCTCCGTCATGCGGCACGCTCGGGTCTCGAACTGCTGAACTACTGACCTTCCACAGCCTGCAGTTCAGCGTCTTAACCACTTGAGATCCTGTACCACTAAGCCACAGCCCCTCCCCAAAGGGTTTCCCCAGTAGCCCCCTCAAAGAGCTACAGTTCCAAAGGTTCTGTGTTGGTAGCTGGAGGGGGTTAAACCAGTTTACATTTGTGGTGCAGACACAGCTTCTGCTCCTTGGAAATAAAGTGTGGGTTTTTGTTTATTCTGAACTCTGTCCCAATGGCCTTTTGCATTCCGGTGACTTAAAGTTTCCCATCGGGAGGTGATCCAGGGGCCCAAGGTCATCAGTGTGACTCTGACTCTGGAATACATGTGGTGTGGGAGGATAAACAGTGTCTTCCCAACAGGCCATCTCCAAACAGGAACCGAATCTGTCGCGTCATTTTGTTTCTCCTTTGGAGAAATCCCCACCAGCAGTTAGCCAAGATGTTTCTGCTTCCTCCCTTGCAGCCTCCTCAAGAACAGGGCAGGAGGGCCACACCTCACCCTGGTTGCTGGTGACCAGCTTCTGGTTTTCACTGCCCCTAAACGTGGAGGCGCCTCCCTAGGGTTGCCAGGTCTTGCCGGATGGACAGTTCTTCTCAGGAGATTGAAAGTTTTTCAAAACACTGAATCCCCAAAAGCCACGTGTAGTGCCTGTGGGCGTCTGATAACCTGGAAGTGATGACATCGTGCCGCTGATGTTGCATGGTGACACTCTAGTTTTTGGGCAAAACTCTATGGTTTGTGCCCGATTTTACCACAGAGTTTTGCCCCAAAACTAGAGCACGATGTTGACAGCGTGATGACATCACTTCCGAGTGATGTCATTGTGCTGCATTTGGGGCATCTGTGGGTGGGGTTTCCCCACACTGGCCAGCTGGCCGGGGGAGGTAGGGTTGCCAAGTAAAAATATCCTACTGGCGGGGGAGCCTCGCAAGGCTCCGGGAGCTGTCCCTTGATGTGCGCGCGCCACCAGCACGTCACCAGAAGTGACGCGCGATGTTGATCATGTTGAAGGCTTGACCCCGATCGTCGGAGGGAAAACCATAGAGTTTTCCCTCCGATGATTGGGGCCATCAGGGGTCATTTCGTAGAAAAAGAGCTAGGGGAACTCATTAGCATAACTCATTAGCATATGCCACACCCCCTGACATCACCGGAAGTGTGTCATAAGGCCACACACCCCGCCCCCAACGGTCCCGGCCACTGCCGCCGGCCTTGCAGCTCCACTGCCCCAAGTCTACTTACCTTGGTGGCGGGGGAGCCTCGCTGGGCTCCGGGAGCTCTCCGGTGATTCGCGCGTGCGCCGCCAGCACATCACAGGAAGTGACGAGCTACATTGCTCATGTTGAGGGCGTGGCCACAATCGTCAGAGGGAAAGCCATAGAGTTTTCCCTCTGACAATTAGGGCCATGCCCCCAACGTGAGCGATGTGGTTGCATCACCAGAGGTGATGCAGCCATGCTGCGCTTTGGGGGGGCGGAGTTCCCCCAGGGCCCGATTCCACGGTGGTGGAAATCGGGCCTCCGAAGCGGGGGTTTACCCACCCCCCGCCCCCACTTGGCAGCCCTAGGGGGAAGGGAGGGGCCCACAATAGTGGGGGAAAACCCACCCGGACTGGGGGGCTGGCAACCCCACTTGTCCCAGTAACTGTGGCTGAAGCAACTTTTTCAAAACCCTCGGAGACAGTGGCCGCCACCACATCCTGTGGCAATGGCTCCCACCAGTTAATTATAGATTTGAGTGAAGAAGGGCTTCCGTTTTCATCTACTGGCTCCTCTGAAAGGCCAGATGCTGGGAGCAGCTATCGGGGGGGGGGGGAAGAGTGTTGTGTTTTTGTCCTGCTTGTGGGTTTCCTGTTGGGGCCGTTGGCTATCCACTGTCAGAAACAGGATGCTGGGCTAGGATAGGCCTTGGTCGGATCCAGCAAGGACTCTTTGGATGTCCTTCCATGTATCTGAGGTAACCTCCAGGTGGAGCCTGGAGTCCTCCCGCTATTGCAAATCATCTCCAGGCAGTAAAGATCAGTTCCCCTGGAGAAAACGGCTGCTTTGGAAGCGGGGCTCTATGGCACTGTACTTTGCTGAGGTCCCTGCCCTCCCCAGACTCCACTCCCAAAATCTCCTCCTATTTCCCTACCCAGAGCTGGCAAACCTACATCTCAGAAAGTTTTTGAAAACACTGAATTCCCAAAAGCCACGTGTAGTGCCTGTGTGTGTCTGATAACCATCACCCCTTTTTTTGGGGAAAAGCAGTTTATGACACTGTCCTTGGGGCCATGTTGTTTTGGAGGTGGGACTTTCCCACAAGCCTGACTGGCAAGTGATCTGGGGGGGGGAAGGGGCCTTCTGCTTTCCTCTGCTGAGGGATCAAGCGGATGCAACGGGGATCACCCAGATGAATCTCCAGCCTTTTGCAAGCCAGGAAATGCTCTTGAGGCAGGGCTGCGGGGAAGCCCACGCTGTGGTTTCCCTCACCTCTCCGACTCAGGTGGCAGCCAGGCATGGCGAACCGGATGCTGAGTCCCACGCCCTTGCGTCACCCCTTTCCCGTCTTCGTTGCCGCAAGAAATTGGGACACTTTCCTTTCGGTGACGGTGTGATGAGGTGGGGCTTTTCAGTTTAGGAAGAAAAAATGATTAAGGAGTGACATGAGAGAGGGTTAGGAAATTATGAACGGGGTGGAGAAAGTGGGGCAAGAGATCTTTTTGTCTTGCTCTGTCGTAGCAGAACTCAGGGTCATCCAGTGAAGCTGAAAGGCAGAAGATCCAGGAAGGACGAAAGGAGAGTCCTCACTTAGGCATCGTTAACTTGTGGAACTCATGACCACAAGATGTAGAGGTGGCCTCTGGGTAGATAGGTCTAATTCAACTTAAAAAAAAGAAAAAGCTATCACCCATAAAAGTATTTAGCGACAGCTGTCAGACCTGATGACTAAATGGAACCTCCATGTTCAGAGGCAGTGTACCTCTGAACAGTGTATGACTAAATGGACTAAACAGTGATGACTAAATGGAACCTCCATGTTCAGTGTACCTCTGAACACCAGTTACTGCAGGGGCAACAATGCGGGGGGGGGGCTCTGGCCCCTGTGTCCTGCCTGAAGGCCTACAGGGGCATCTAGCTGGCCGCTATCAGAAAGAAATATGTCGAACTAGATGGACCCTTGGTCTGACCCAGCAGGGGCCTTCTTATACTCATAAATATGTAAAAATGGTGATAATGACAATAATAATAGCTAATTAGTAATACTTAGTATAAATGTAACACTTTTACGGCTCAAAGTGCTCTGCCTTCATTATCTTACTGCCATCTTTACAACAACACTGTGAGGTAGAGCCCTGAACTGGATAGCCCAGGCAAGCCTTATCTTGTCAGATCTCGGAAGCTAAGCAGGGCTGACCCCGGCAAGTATTTGGATAGGAGACCTCCAAAGAATACCAGGGCCGGAAGACAGAGACTTGCTATCAAGCCACCTCTCTGAACGTCCTCCATGCCCCTGTAGGAGTCACCAGAGGTCACCATGACTTCCAGGCACAGGCATGCACACACATATACATAAACACAAATGCAAAAATGCAAAAAAACCCCACACTGCGAGGTAGGCCAGTGTTATTATCCCTGTTTTGTGCAGGCTGACTGGCTGGACTAAGGCCACTTAGTGAGCTTGTGGCAGAGGCCAAATTGAACTGGGGACTTCCTAGATCCTGGCTTATTCCCTTACAGTGCCATCCTCAACAGAGTTACACCCTTCTCAGTCCACTGAAGTGGCACTGCTGATCACTGTGTTATACCTAGGGATAGGCACAAACCAGCTCACGAACTAAAGTTTGTGACAAATTTTGGGCGGTTCGTGGTTCACAAAGTGACATTCATGGGAGGGAGGGAGGAGGAGAGAGAGAGTGTGTGTGTGTT